ATGGCACGGCAACACTCTTTTCTTTCTTTGGCACGGCAACACTCTTTTCTTTCGACAGCACAGAACCTCTGGCACGACAACCCTCTTTTCTTCTAGCCTTCGATCATGGAACCGGCAGCCTGCTCTGCTGCCGCGGAGGCCTGCTCCGCTGCCGAAGACAGCGATACCGAGGCTCATCGCCGCCAGGACCTGCATCCTGCAGAAGACATGGAGGATGTGCCGATCCGTGTCTCAGCCACGGACGAGCGCGTCGCAGCTATTGGCCAGCTCATGGGACTCATCGAGGGTGCTTCGTCTCCGCCTACCCTCGCGGACCGCGTGCTCTCCTTGGAGAACCAGCAGAGGGCCCTGGCTGCTGACGTGCGTTTTTGGGGCGGCAGGGTTCGTGATCTCGCCGAAGGGCTTCGTCGCGTCAAGGGAGCGCATGCCCTTCTCCAGGATCAGCTGGGCAGGGTGGCCGACCTTGTTGGAGATCTCCAGATGCGTGTGGTGCAGCACTTGGGGGAGCAGCTCCGGGAAGACGCGCCTGGGACACCAGGGGAGTCGATGAGGCCTACCTCGAGTTCCCCGGACCCCCGTGCCTCGCTGGAGCTTGCGCTTGCTACTTTGACCTCCGAGGTGGCCGATCTCCAGGCAAAGGAAAAGGGCCACTGCACGTTGCTCAGCGAGCACTCCGCCGCCCTTGACGAAATCCAGGCCGCGGTCGCTGCTCTTCAAGATCCTCCCGACAGGGGCCATGCGCTATCAGTGATGCTTAGCGGAGGTGCACCGGCTTCGTGATTGCATTTCTCGCGACAGAGCCTGGCCCGGCAGTGATGTTCCTCAGTCGAGCCTTTACTTTTGGTGCCGCCCATCGCTACATGTTCCTGTCAGCAGATAGTCTCCTGTCGCTCCGTTCCAGTGCTGCTTTTCGAAGCTGCCGTACGAGTGCTGTCTGCAGTTTTGATGCGTGGGCCCTGGCAGAAAAAGAAGCTCTCGCTGTCGACCTTGACCAGTTTTTCCTTTTTCCGCAGCGTGCTCCGTTTAGTGGCAGATGCCTGCTTTCGCCTATTCCTGCTGGCCTCAGCATTCGGGGCTAGGGCAGTGGGGAGCCGGCCTTTCTGGTGGGCTTCCTTTTCTTCCGGCAGGCTCGTTTCTTTTCGGGGGTTTTGCCTAACGAGCCCGGTGATCATCCGATTGGCAGGGGGAAGCTCTCGGGCCACACTGGAGGCTGCGAGACTGATCTTGCGACAACCTCCTTAAATCGTGGCACCTGTCAGGAACTCGGACTGCCTACCCGGAGGCCCGTCACAAAACTTCACTGGAGACTAACAGTGGCTTTCAAACTCCGGGTGCCAGGTCCCAACTGGAGGCCGTGGACTCATTCTGGAGAGTCATTGAGCACCCCGTGGAAGCCACTCAGGTCGGCCTGACATTCAGGGATCAGCGTCACTTCCGGACCCGGTCTCGGCGATCAGGGGCTTCGCGTTAGGCTGAACGCCCCCCTGCACAAGCCAGGTCCGAGAAGCTGCCTTACTGGAGGCGCGAATATCACTTTTTGCGAGCTAGCGTAATCACCTAACCTGGAGGTCGCTTCATCCACGCTTGGTTGAATAGCTGCCTGCACCCGGCAGGCCTCCCGAAGCCTGTCGTTCCTTCTTACAGTAATGCAACTGCCAGGACCGTCGACATCCTCGAGGACAAGACTATAGGCGGGAGGCAGGCAGGACAGTGGCTCGGTGACGGTCTGTCTTGTCACACGCACATGTTACACGTTTCTTGGTAGCGCTTAGGTCCCTCTTTGCTTTTCCCCCAAACTGCGGGGGGGTCTGATTGATTTTGCTTTCGCCCCCAAACACGGGGGGGCAATCGGGATGGACCTCGACCCGTGGTATCATAACATCAGTGGATTCCGTAAGAGGTGGGCTACATCCTTATCAGATGATTCAGAACCCGGGGGTAGTGTTCAACGGCTATCGGAAGATGTCGACGGTGCCAACGAATCGGGTGCAGCTTCAGGATCTTCTTGGATCGAGGTTGAAGCAGCTTCCGAATGCAGCAACACAGTTCGAAGTATCAGCACGAAGCAGCCGGCGGCCAAGTTGCCTAGGCTGGGAGGCTCCACCGCACCTGGACAGATGCAAACTTTGCCCTTGGACATACGAGGGGCGGTAGAGTCCACGATCCCAGTCAAGATTACCATGCCTTGGGAGAGGGGACCCTTAGCTGCTCTATTTGGCGGACAGTGGGGGCCCTACCGTCCTTTGTCGATGACGCGGTTGCCTGCACCCATACCTCCGCGGAATATCAATCTCGATATCGAGCCCCCGAAGCCAATATCAATTAACCAAGCAAGGTTGAGATCTGTGAGGGCGGGGCAACCGGAGGATGATAGGGCTAGAGCATTACATCGCTTCAAGGTGCTGATTCTACTGGATCCATTGGCCACTAGAGCAGGGCGACAGATGACAGATATAGCGGGGCTTTGCAGTGACGAAGCTAGGGCTATCGAGACGCTCAGGGACATTTTGTCCCCCAAGTCGACGGGAACCCTAGTCAAAAGGTCTGGCTCTCTGTGGAGATATGCTGCATTTTTGGCGGGTCGGGGTGTCACTTCCCCGTTTACGGCAGACGAGGCCAATCTCTACTTGTATTTACAGAAGCTTAAGACGGAGAAGTGCACCAGTACGGCGTCAGTCCTTTTGGAGGCGATGAGGTTCGCTCACGGCATGTTCGGGTTCCTTAAAGTCACCATTGCCGAGCTTGATTCACCCAGGGTAAAGGGAGCTGCGCACTCTATGTTTGTGCAGAAAAAGGTGAGGTCGCAAGCTCCAGCCATCCCGGTCGAAGTCGTGAAGAAACTCGTTGGACATGCAGGAGACCCCGCAGAAGAGCCCCACGTGTCTATGATCGCAGGTCAGCTCTTGAAGTGCATTTTTGGGGTTGGAAGATGGAGCGATTTCAGGAGTGCCGGGGGTCTCGAGATAGATGAGTTTGAGGGCACTGTGATGTGGACCATGTGGACCACGGATCATAAGACCGCTCAGACCAAGGAGGCCAAGACACGTTTGCTTCCCTTTTTAGGCCTAGGATATTGGCCGGGCTTCGGAAACTGGATCAGCACCGTGATCGACAACCAGACGGCGGCGGGCTTAGATCAGGGGCTGCGCTCCTGGAACCATCACAGTTCCATGTGGAATCCGTGGCTCATGAGTTCGTCGGAAGCTACAGCTTGGTTGAGAGAGTTCGCAGAGCCAGTGGTTGGGCCGGAAGCGGCCCAAAAGCTTAGATCGCACTCCTGCAAGCACACTATGCTCACTTGGGCCGGGGGTTCGGGCCTCTTCACGAGGGAAGAGAGGACCATGCTAGGTCACCATGTTGAGGCGGCGACAAAGTCCGCTACCACCTACGATCACAACACCATGCTAGCTCTTCAAGCAAAAGTGCTCAAGATGATAGAGATGATCGCAGTGGGTTCTTATCGACCGGACGACCCCCCAGCGGCTCGCCTTAAGGCGATGGCGGGGTCGAGCAAGGACAATCTGGAGGGTCAGGTTGAGTCGGCTGAAGAGAAACGCATGCAGGAGGCAAATCAAAGCTCTTCGTCCGATGATGACGAGGAGGCAGAACCTAAAGAAGTAATCGAGGTTCAGAGAGAACCTCTCCCGGCTGATGCCGGGAACTATTCGTGGTTTCGGCACCGTGTCAGCAGCATAGTGCACATCGCTTCCGATTCCAGTGGTCATCGCTTGAGGTGCGGTAGAGTAGTCTCCTGTAATTTCGAACAGGTAGAACCTGTCAATTTGGATCGAGTCCAGAGTTTCTTTTGCGTCCAGTGCAGCAGGGCCCAGGACGCATGACCGAGCCAAGACGTCTGCGAAGAGTGGAATCGGCGACTTCGTACCTGCATCCGCGGCTTGCGATCTAAGGTCGTGTCTGCAGCTTGAAGTGTTGGCTTGCAAGGTAGATCCCCGATTCTAGCGACATGGCGCTTGATAGTGAGGCCTCCTTCAGATCCAGATGCTTGTCGTGCGGCCTTCCTGAGAATGTAGTTCAGGAAATGCACGACGGGGGAATAACCACATTCGCGGGCCTCGCCTTTTGCACTCCGCATCAGGCGAACGCAGGCATCGATGACGCTGCTTTGATGAACCATGTTAACGGGCTGCTTACTCATGCTTTGACTCCAACAGCAGTGGCGGGTCTTAGGCGCCTAGCCTTTGAGGCCCAGGCGCTGGCCCTCCAGGACTTGAAGACCAAGCTTGAGAGCCCAGCCGAGCACGAGCCAAAGGTTCTTCCCCTCCAGGAGAAGATGGCTCGGCTTACACGGCAAAAGGAACGTCTTGTGGGGGTAGTGCTCACCCCTCACAATACTCCCAGCCACGCCTTAATAGACAAGGCGTGCTCGCAATTGGAAGAAGGATCTCTTCAGTGGATCCATCCCAACAAGTGCACCTCGCGACATTCTGAGGCCCTCTCGGAGAAGCCTCAGACTTCATTGTCATTCGATTCCAAGGGGTCCATCAAGGTAAGCAAGGCATCGCATGACCTCGAGTGTGATACAAGCAGCGCTCATCTCTTGAGAGTGGCTCTTCAGAGACGTGCTCTCGCCTACGACGTGGCCAATCTGTTCAGCTTCAGCGTCCTGGAGAGGTGGCATCAATCACTATTTGATCGACTTCATCATGTACCACCCCCTGGATACTTGGCTACTTCCTTGCATCAGCTGGTGGCTGCGGACAAGGCGCTGTGGTTGCTCGTCGCGGAGGACACCAGGGCGAAGCTCACGGAGATGGACCCTGACCAGCCGGCCTTGAGACTATGCGAGTCTCACATGAACTACTACGCTGACCATCCGGACGTCCTCTTTCATCTGATGCCCCTCAAGGCAGGGGGAGCGGCTAGCGGCGGAAAGCAGCCTCAGTCGGATCAACCAGGTCGGTCTCGCAATGCTCGCCGCCAGAACCGGAGTCAAGGCTCCAAGATGACCCAGCAGGCGCAGGTCAAGCGGCCAGACAATCCCGGCTACTCCCCCATCGTGGTCCCGGAAGGCTGCACCATCATGTTCAACGGCGGCAAGCCCATTTGCAAGAAGTTCAATGTGGGACGATGCAAAGTCAAAACGGCCAAGGGAGGCCGTTGCTCCAATGGTTTCCACGTCTGCTGGAAAGAAGGTTGCCATCGTCCCTTCGCTTATCCAGAGTGCCGTCACAAGGAGTGACTAGATCACCAGACCGGAGATCTGGTGACTGATATGACTGGGGCTACGCCCCCAGAAGAATTCGCAAGTGCATTGATCGCAGATGGTGACCTGTCCTACGACAGTCTTCGCCGTCTTTTCTCCCTTTTGCCGCTTGAACCTCCGGCGAGGGGAGTGGGTGTCGGGATGTCGGGCTCCTTCACTACGGGTGCCTACTCATTCGGCGGCGAGGTTGGACTTCGCCGCAATCTTTCCTCCTTCCCGATTACGTCCTCTCTGCTTGCCAAGCACGTCCAGGCCATTTCTCCGTCTTTTTCCTTCACGAGCGTGGCGCTTTTTCGTAATTTGAAGACTCCTTGTCATCGAGATGCCAATAACTTCCCCGACTCCTATAACCTGGTTGCACCCGTGGCTCACTTTGAGGAGGGTGCCATCTGGTGCGAAGATGACGGCGGAGATCATCTTCTTCATTGCGATGGTGTACAGTGTCGTGGCCGTCTTCTCGATGTTGCACGTGGACCAGTTCTTCTCCCAGCTGCTTCGTCGAGGCATTGCACCTTGGATTGGACAGGTGACCGCCTCGTCTTGGTCGCGTTCTCTATCCGCGAGGCCCTGGACTTGCCGGTGAAGCTACGAGATCGTCTCCGCCAGCTCCACTTCACTCTCCCGGACAGCGTTGGTGACCTTACTCAGCCCCCTCCTCTGACCCGAGGCCAGACGCAGGTCGCTAGGCGCCCCCTCATGGTTGAGATTTGCTCTGGGTCGGGCTCCTTGTCTGCGGCCTTTCGAGACCGTGGATTCCCCACTATGGCCATTGATCGCCCAGGTAATGACCATCGATTGTGCCATTCCTTCGTGCCCCTGGACCTCACGCTCCCTCGCAATCAGGATCTCTTGATGGGCGCATTGAATGATGCTGTACTCGTGGGACACGTTCACCTGGGCGTTCCCTGTGGAACTTGTAGCAGGGCTAGAGACAAGGCTCTTCCCAAGAAGGTTCGCGGCAAGTTCGCTGCTCCCCAGCCGCTGCGTGATGCCGCTCATCCCTTAGGTAAGCCTGGTCTTGCCGGGCCCTCCAAAGACCGTGTACGTGCTGCGAATGAGCTGTATCGATTCGCGATCCGGGTCGTTTTGTGGGCCTTCCAGCGAGGAGTTCCTGTGACCATCGAGAACCCTTCACGCAGCTGGCTTTGGCCGGCTTTGGAATGTCTCGTCAAGCGCATGACCGCCGAGTACGGACCAGACTTGCGAAGGGCCTGGAAGTCTCTCCGCTACTTTGATCTCGATGCTTGCATGTTTGGGGGTAAGCGTAAAAAGCGAACCAGGTTGGCTTCATCTTTTGATCTCTCCTCGATGGCCCGCTCTTGTGACGGGCGACATGAACATTTGCCCTGGTCCATCACCGAGGTCAACAACAAGCTCTCCTTTGCTACAGCCGAGGAGGCTCAGTACCCTTCGCTCTTTTGTCAGACCTTCGCCAACCTGTTTGTGGCGCATTGGGAGCGCTCTGGTGTTTTGCTTCCCCCGCCCGGCAACTTCTGCTCGCTCTCAGGCTCGCGAGCTTCCCCTCCTCTTATCCCTCAGTTTCGAGAGATCGTCGAGGCACCAGTTGCTCCCCGGGGCGAGCAGTACAAGATTCTTGCCTCCGAACAAGGGGGGGGTCTACAAGGCAATAAGACGCCGGAGAACTCTGGTTGCAAAGTTGGTATCAGATGGACCCCTCAGGAGTTCCTTCAGCAGGCGAAGCAGGTCAAGCATCCCATGAATCCCGATCAGGCCCTGAGTGAGACAGTCAAAGACGCGCTCTTCCACAACCTCACGCTGCACCCAGTGGAGGTCGCCAAATCTCGCATCCAGGCCGTGATAACCATCAAACAGATGGCGGAAGAGCTGGAAGATCGAGAAAGGGAATTTAAGGATAAGTTGGACCCTATTGTGTCTGCAATCCTCAAGCCCAAGCGGCTTCTTCTGTGGAAGAGTTTGCTGTCCGCTGCAGAGTACGATGATATGGCGATAGTTGACCTGGTGGCATCTGGGATCCCATTGACGGGCTCTCATGGGGCGGTTCCAGCTCTTCCGGAGAAGCTAGTGCCAGCCACTGACTCACACGCATCACTCTTGGCCTCAGCACCGTTGAGGAGAATCGCCATAACCTCGCGAAACAAGGAGACCTCGGAAAAGGAGCAAGCGGACCTAACCGAGGCGGCAGATGCCGAGGTGAAGCGTGGAGAGATTGAGGGCCCCTTCTCCGAGGACCAAATTACGGAACACTTCGGATCGTCAGAGTGGCTCCTGAATCCGAGGTTTGCCCTGTATCAGGGCGCCAAACTCAAGTTGAGAGTGATAGATGATGCCCGGCGCTCTGGCCTCAATGAAGCCTATCAAAGGACTTGTGCGGCTACTCTTATGGACCTCGACTCGTTGTCGTGTGTCATAGCTGCGCTCGCCAAGGCCATCGTTGAGGGGACATTCCAAGGCTCCGAAGTCCACGAAGTAGTCAGGCTCGAGCAGTGGATGGGGAGGACGCTAGACCTCTCCCGGGCATACAAGCAACTGGCCATCGACCCGTCTAGTCGTAGGGTTTGCGTCTTGGGATTTCAGAAGGGCCCATCGTGGATTTACTATCGCTGCAATGTCCTACCTTTTGGGGCCCGAGCCTCCGTGTTCTCATTCTTGAGAGTATCCAGAAGCCTGCACTTCATCATGGCCAAGTACCTGAAGGCTCTGAACACAGTTTTCTTTGACGACTACCCGATGGTGGCCACGGGGAGCGGATCACAGATCCTTCTGAAATCCGCGTCGTCTGTGCTTAATCTTTTGGGTTGGGCACATGCGGAGGAAGGGGAGAAAGCCCCTGGCTTCCAACAGGAGTTTGTGGCTCTAGGAGTGCAGATATCGCTGAACAATCTCGGCCAGGGTAGGTTCACCGTCAGCAACAAGCCGGGGAGGGTGGAAAAACTCGTGGCCATGATTCAGGAGGCGGCAACCAATCCAGATGTGGCGAAGTCGCTTCCAGAGCTGCATGGCCACTTGAACTTCGCCTCAGGATTCTTCTACAACAAGGGTTTGAAGTTCGTTTCCAAGGCCCTGAACAAGGCGTCCTCTGACCCGGCATCGGAGGTTTTCCAAGGCCTTTGTAGAGTAGCTGTCTCCCTCCTGAGGGCGACTCCGCCAAGATCTTTCGATCTAAGCATCTCGGGTCCCCCACTCCTCGTATTCACGGACGGGGCGTGGGAATCTGGTCGGGCCGGAGCGGGGGCGGTTGTGCATTGTTGCGCTACTGGTGCAACCTTTGCATGTGAGATTCCGGTCCCTCAGGAGCTTGTTCGTTCGTGGCTCCGCGATGCTGGAGAGCAGATCATATGTCAGATAGAGATGTGGGCATTTCTAGCTCTCCGGGTGGCCATGTGTGAGCGCTTTCACGCTATGCCCGTTTTAGCCTGGATCGATAACGAAGCGGCCAGGTACGCCCTCATGAAAGGGACGGCTGATTCTGTATCTCTCAGGAACATGGCACGCCTGAGCCAACACGCGGAGCTAACAAGCCCCGCTCTCATATGGTTCGAGAGAGTAGCATCCTTTTCCAATCCTGCAGATCTGCCGTCGAGAGGCGGTCTGGTGCAGGCATGCGTTGAGTATGGTGCTGAACCATTTGAGTTGCCAGATGTGTCTGAACTGGTGCGTCAGTTGCTCAGGCTGTCTGATCAACCGTGGGCTGAGATTTAGGCCGCGCTGCTATTCGGGGGCATCTTACAAGCGCGTCGCCAGCCTACCGAGTTGAAACAATCCGAACCGCATCTGACTATACGTTTGGAGTCACTGGAAATTTTCATACAATTTATATTGGAAGGATAAGACTTCCAACAGAAAGACAT